TGGACAGTTTAGGGCCCCTCCTATGTATGGCCCTGAGTAGTGTCTGGGGATCCAGAGAGGAGAAAGGCCTTGTTCTTGCCCTCAGGGAATTGTGGTTCAGTGGGGAGCTGGATGGGAAGCAGACAAAGACAGTTTTCTTTACTGATGAACACCAAGATGGGGGAAGGCTGAAGCTGTGGAGGCAGGGGAAGTCCTTCTGGAGGAAGTGATACTGGGGCTGAATCTCAAGGGATGAATAAGAGCCAAGGAATCTGTGGGGAAGGCCTTCCAGGAAGAGGAAGCCTATGTGTTGAAGCCTGTGGAAGAGGGAAAGAGTGGGTGTCTGAGGGACCATCTGTGGCCCATTATGGAGGGAGGTGATGGGCAGTAGGCCCTGAGCCTGGACAGCTTGACAAGATCTGCACCCCTGGGGCCTAGTGTGACTTTCTGAGGGCTTTGAGTGTTATCCTGACACCACTGAGGTGTTAGATGGGAGTGAAAGACATGGTTTGTGTGTTGGGGAGATGATTTTGCTGCAGAATGGAGAAGCAGAACCTGGAGCAGGGAGTGCAGGTGAGAGGAGATGGGCTTGTGCTAAGCCAGGAGCGGGGTGGAGAGAAGGACACACCTTGAGACACATGTAGCTGATGGGATCTATGAGATGGGATGATTGATTAGGAGTGGGAGAGTGGGGGGCATCAGAACAGTACTCAGGCTTCCGACTCAGCCAGGTGAGCACAGGAGGCTGAGGCAGGAAGATCAAAAGTTCAAGGCTAACCTCAACAGCTTAGATCCTAAGTTACCTAGTAAGACCTTGCACAAGATAAAAAATTAAAAAGGGATAGGAGCTGGACACAGTGGCACACATCTGTAATCCCAAAAATTTAGAAGGCTGAGGTAGGAGAACAGCAAGTTCATTCCCTGAGACAAAGCAGGCTGGAGGTACAGGATTTGTGGGTGACCTGTTTATCTCTGTGTGGAACAACATGCTTTTGCAATGCTTGAAGGACATGCAGGTGGCAGTGTCTGGCAGGCAGCTGTACATGCAGGTCTGGACTTAGGAGAAAGATTTGGGAATTATTAGCTTAATGAATGGGACAAGAAGAGGTCACCAGAGAAGGTGTGGAGAGACACAGAGGGAATACTAAAGAAAGGAGATGAGCAGAACTGGGAGACTCTTGAGAGTATACCAAGAAGCAGCAGGTGACCAAGAGTGAGTGGGGTCACAAGATGACCAAGTGTGAGTAGGGTCACAAGATGACCAAGTGTGGGATTGAGAAGCCTTGGGAGGAAAGTGGCCAGGGCCTGCTCAGGCCCCTCCCTCATGTTGCTGTGCCCCTTCATGTGGTGATTGGCATTTAAATGGGAGCAGAGTCTCTCTGATGGTGAGAATCTAGGTGCTGCAGGAGATGAGCATCGGTGACTTTAAATAGGTTATTTCATTTGATCTTCTAACAGCTCTCTTCAGATAGATATTTTCACATGAGGAAATTGTGGTTCCAAGAGGGTGAATGTCTCTCCTCAGGTCACATAACTTGTTGGAGATGGGATTGGAATTGGAATTTGTTGCTTTTCATATCTCATTTTTTTTTAACTGCCCTTGGCTTTTTTCTTTAGCACACATTCAGCGGGGTCATCTCCTAGATTGGCATCTGGACCTGGCCAGCCTTGCCTACACCCTCTAGGCCTCCAGGACATGGAGACTTCAGAGGAGGCCTGTCTCCCAGATTAGCCCCAAAGACAACAGGCTCCTGAAGAAGAAAGAGGAGGTGCAGGCACAGCCCAGACCTGGGATGGGATGGGCTTCCCCTGAACCAGTGGGGAACTTCCTCCTGGGAAAGCCATGACAGGGGCAGTTCCTCTCCTGGGCCAGGCGTCAGAGAATCCGGGCCCCAGCTGTTCCTGCCTGGCTGCCCGAAACCCTGAGCACCCACCGGAGACAGGAGGCCCTGCCTGCTCACTGCCCATTGTCCCTGCACCACAGTGCTGCTTCCCATGCGCCTCCTGTTTACACAGGAAGCCCCGCTCTGGGATGCCACCTCCCTCTCCTGATGGCTGGCTCCAAGCTTACATTCCTCACAGCGGCTTCAATGAGTGGGACTAAAGTAAGTTATCACTACTTGGTGGCTTTAAAATTTAGAATAGTAGAGTAGGTAAAAGCATGCCTTTCTTGTCTTTTGACTACCCTGGATTTGAATCAGACCCCCCATGAGCTGTAGGACCACAATGAGTGCAGATTCCCCCTCTGTATTTTTTTTCCCCACTGGCTCATAAGTTTGCTGTAAAGATAAAATATGGAAATAAAGTGCCTTAATATATTATATGCTCAATAAATTCTAGAGCTTACAGTTGCTGTTACTTGTAATTTACCTCCTACTTTTACTTGCACTGAATTTCACCTGTGCTTATGCAGATATAGTTTTAAACTATGACTTCCAAATTCTTAACAGTCTTCCCATTGAGAAGTAGGGTCTCTGTCCCCTTCCCTTGAATCTGGGTGGTCTTGGGACTACTTTGACCAATGAGGAGTTCAAGTGAAGCTATGTGACTTCCCTGTCTTTGTTTTGTTTGCTAGAACACTTGAACCCCAAGCCACATGTAAGACTCTGTCTGTTCTGGAGTTTGACAGGCAATCAC